TTTTGGCCATGAAGGCTCAACGGATTTTTTTGTAACTTCTCCAGTTCAGCTTCCTGGAAATATACCATAAGGAAACAACACATGAATATTGTTCCACGCAAATGACAAAAAGTTAATATAACAAGGTCAGCTTAAGACTCTGCTCGCATCAACTTAGCAGATTTATGGAAACTAGACCTTTTTCTTTAGTAAGAACAATCTTTGAACTGGTTTCTGAGTGATAGGGCCCTTTTCTGCATCTGCCACGGAGCTTCTGACTCTAGCTTCTTTTATTACCCTATCTTCTCCATTTGTCATTGGAAAGTAGTTAGAGTATGTGCAATGCAAGTCTCTCACCATAATCTCTCAACTATAAAAGTAATAATAAAATAACAAATAATAGTATTTAATTATGTAAGTTTCTAAAAAAGGATGGAGAGAGTCTCTCATAGGAGAGATTATGAGAGATTCTCTCCACTTTTTTAAGAGACTCCATAATTAAATAATACTATTTCTTATTTTATTATTATTTTTGTCTGTGAGAGACTTTGGTAAGAGACTTGCATTGCACATGCTCTAACGCATACCTTCAAAGACATCATGGGCAATGCGAGGCCGACCTATCATGGGATGGATACCAACTTGTTCTTCCCAGAGAACTCCAACTACCAAATCTTCAAGTAGCAACTAAATCCTCGATGCAACGACCGAAAACCGACAAAGACCATGAGTAAACGACCGAAGAGGAAGAACACATCCCAATCACCAACAAAAACTAAGAAGGGATGAACAAATCTAGCCGTGGAAGAAGATATGAGAACATAGGTTAACAAAGTATTGACAACGATGAGTTTTAACCAAAAGGAAAGTGTTTTTTTTCCACCTATATGCTCTCTCTCCAATAGATTAAAAGATTCCATCTAAAGACAAGGATCCTAAGCCCAAAAAAAGAAAAACCAACGAAATTGGGTTTAATGAGACTGAACTTGATTGTACTAGTGTCGTTATTATGCAAGTATTCTATATATAACTTATGTTATTAGGGGTTGATTTATATATTTTTAAAAGTTTCTATCAAAATATTGATTTTTTTTGTTTCTTAAAGAAAAAGAAAAAAAAACAAAACACAAAGTGGAGGAGACCAAGGTGACAAAACAATGTCCGAAACGGCTTAGAACGGCTTAAAACGCCAGCAAATTTCTCTCTGACCAATTTCAGAGCCAAACAACTCCTCCAATCTTTTTTTTTTCCTTCTTCTTTCGCTAATCAAAAAAAAAAATACATAGAAGAAGAAGAAGAACAAGATTTGCTTTTTACGTGCTCTCAACTATAATCGGCGAGACCGAGAAAAATTGATTTCCCTTCTTCTTCACGTGCATGTTTGTTTCTTCTCTCTTCTCTCTTTAGTTTCGATCTATCTATCTATCTACTTAGGGTTTTCAATTTCCCCTCTTTTCTCTCTTCCAATTCTCTTACTTACATTTCCGAGAGACCCATTTGATCAATTTCGTAGATTTAGTTGACGATTGTTCGATTCGTGATTCGTGTACCCTAAAGTTTGAAATTTTGTTGCTTTTTTTCAGGGTTAAAATGGAAATCTTAAAAGTTCTTATCGGAAGTATCTCGTCGTTTCTAAATCTATCATCTTCTAAACATATTGATTTAGACCCATTTGAGAAGTACTACAAGAGAGTTGAAGAGTTATTGAGAGTGTTGAAGCCTATTGCAGATGTTGTTGTTAACTCTGGTCTTGTTTTGGATGAGAAACTTGGTAAAGCATTTGAAGAATTGACTCAGGATGTTGATCAATCCATTGATCTTTTCAGGAGTTGGCAAGCATTCTCCAGTAAAGTCTATTTCGTAAGTCCCTCTCTGGTTTTATGTATAGATTGTTTAGAAGTTGCATAACCATTTAGTAGATGAACTGATGATATTGGTACTCTGTAACTAACTGTCTTTCGCCTTTAGCTTGAATCCGTGACGGTTATGCTGCACTCCTGCTTGAGTTTTGGTTACTGATATATAGTTTCGTTGATGATAGCTTCTTAATATCTACGTTCTAGGTTCTCCAAATTGAATCTTTGATACCGAAGATGCGAGACACCATTGTGGATACTTTCCAGTTTCTCATGTCTTCTAAGAACCATCTACCTGATGAGCTAAGCCCAGCTTCCCTTGAGGTACCTTCTCTTTACATGTAGAGGAATCTTGTATTAATTTTACATGTTATAGATCCAGTGTATATACGTGGTCTGTTCGGAACATTAGCTTTAGTGATGCTGACTGCGTTGTGTTTTCTTGTGTTGTCGACATTAGCAATTGAATCGAAATTGCAGGAGATGCGAATGGTTAATTTACAAATATTCGTAATTGCAGCAATGTTTAGAGAAGATTAAGCATCTTAGTTATGAAGAAATATCTTCTGTCATTGATGGTGCTTTGAGGGATCAGAGAGATGGTGTTGGACCTAGCCCTGAGATCTTGGTGAAAATTGGAGAGAACACTGGTCTGAGATCAAACCAGGAGATTCTTATTGAAGCTGTTGCTCTGGAGAGGCAGAAAGAGATGGCTGAGCAGTCTGAGAATAATGCAGAAGTCGAGTTCCTTGACCAACTGATTGTTATTGTAAACCGCATGCACGAACGTCTTCTTCTGATCAAACAGACTCAGACATCTAGTGTCGCCATTCTTGCCGACTTCTTTTGCCCTCTGTCACTTGAAGTAATGACTGATCCAGTGATTGTATCATCAGGACAAACATATGAAAAGGCGTTCATCAAGAGGTGGATTGATTTGGGTTTAAAAGTGTGTCCCAAGACCCGACAGACCCTGACTCACACGACTCTAATACCCAATTACACCGTGAAGGCCTTAATCGCTAACTGGTGTGAGACAAACGATGTCAAGCTGCCTGATCCCAATAAATCAACAAGTTTAAATGAGCTTTCTCCTCTTTTATCATGTACAGACTCCATTCCTAGCACGGGTGCTGATGTTTCTGCTCATAAAGTTAGCAACAAGTCACATGATTGGGATGCTTCTTCAAGTGAAACCGGTAAGCCCTCTTTCTCAAGCCGAGCAACTGAAAGAGAAGGTGCTTCTCCTTCACGTCCTGCTTCTGCCTTGGGCGCTTCTTCACCGGGTATATCTGGAAATGGGTACGGTTTGGACGCCAGGAGGGGATCACTAAATGATTTTGAAGATAGATCTAACGATTCTCGGGAAATGAAGACAGATGCACCCGGTAGGTCATCTGTATCTTCCACTACACGAGGCTCAGTGGAAAATGGACAAACATCTGAGAACCACCATCATAGGTCCCCTTCTGCTACTAGCACTGTTTCCAATGAGGAGTTTCCAAGAGCAGATGCGAACGAGAATTCAGAAGAATCAGCTCATGCTACACCTTACAGCAGTGATGCTTCAGGAGAAATTAGATCAGGGCCTCTTGCTGCGACCACTTCAGCAGCTACTCGGCGAGATTTGTCTGATTTTTCCCCAAAATTCATGGATAGACGTAACCGTGGTCAATTTTGGCGACGTCCATCAGAGAGGCTCGGTTCAAGGATTGTTTCAGCGCCTTCGAATGAGACAAGACGTGATCTTTCTGAGGTCGAAACCCAAGTTAAGAAGTTGGTGGAGGAGTTGAAAAGCAGTTCATTGGATACTCAGAGACAAGCAACCGCAGAACTAAGGTTGCTAGCCAAGCACAACATGGATAATCGGATAGTCATTGGGAACTCTGGAGCAATCGTCTTATTGGTGGAACTACTTTACTCAAGTGACTCAGCTACACAGGAAAACGCTGTTACCGCCCTTCTCAACTTATCTATCAATGACAACAACAAAACTGCAATTGCTGATGCCGGTGCAATTGAGCCGCTCATTTACGTGCTTGAAAATGGTAGCTCTGAAGCTAAGGAGAATTCAGCTGCCACTCTCTTTAGTCTCTCTGTAATAGAAGAAAACAAGATTAAGATCGGTCAGTCGGGTGCAATCGGGCCTCTTGTAGATCTACTCGGTAATGGTACCCCTCGGGGTAAGAAAGACGCTGCTACTGCATTGTTTAATCTATCGATACATCAAGAAAACAAGGCGACGATCGTGCAAGCAGGTGCTGTGAGATATCTTATTGATCTGATGGACCCAGCAGCTGGGATGGTGGATAAAGCAGTTGCTGTTTTGGCAAATCTGGCTACAATCCCGGAAGGAAGAAACGCGATTGGTCAAGAAGGCGGGATCCCTCTTCTTGTTGAGGTCGTTGAGTTGGGTTCAGCTAGAGGGAAAGAAAACGCCGCAGCAGCTCTTCTTCAACTTTCAACCAACAGTGGTCGGTTCTGCAACATGGTTCTTCAAGAAGGCGCCGTTCCTCCACTCGTCGCCCTCTCACAATCTGGTACTCCCAGAGCTAGAGAAAAGGTACAAACTTTATAACTATATCATGATGCTTTTGATTCAAGAAGCCACTCTCGTGACTTTGATTGTTTTGAAGAGATCTTTATTTGGAGAATCTTGTAACTTGTCAGGCACAGGCGTTGCTCAGTTACTTCAGAAACCAACGGCATGGAAACGCCGGGCGTGGCTGATGGATGATGATGTTGATGATATTGATAATGCACAGATTCTGGTCTCTCAGTGCCTTATTTTATGTTTTGTCCTCTTACCAAAAGACAAAAGTAGTGATTTTGTACAAAAAGAGGTTTCTTCTGCAAATAATTTTCATACCCAAGATTTTTTGTTGGTTCTCTGTATTCTTTAATTTTCAATTGATTCTTATAAAACTTTGATTTGGAATAGAATTTTTTTTATTTTCTGTGAATGAGTGAGAATATTTTACCATTGATGAGCTAATTAGCAAATTGTGAACAGAAGTTTTATGATTCATTGCATATATTAAAATTATCAGTATAAATAAAAAAAAACAAATGCTGAATACAAAATGTGAGCTGTATTGAGGGAGACAAATATGGTAGGATAAAAAAAGATATAAATAAATAAAATTAAGAATTGAAACTAAAAAAAACAAAAACAAAAATTAATTAGAAGGCTAGAGAGCAAGTAGAGGCCATGCAATAGCCGCAGCTCCCACCATTACATTTTGTATCACACTTCTTCTTTCTGCTCCGCTCTGCATTAAATAATTCGATTTCAAATTTTAGAAAAATCAAACCTAACAAAAATGTGATTTCAGACATTTTTAAATCATAAAAATTATTTGAGTTTGACATTATAGACAAATAATGAAACATTCTATTTTGCAAGTTTGTTACTACTATAGTTCCTACAAAAGATGGAACTAATTTTCATTTGTTTTTACTTAAGCGTTATTTACATATAACCTAGATTAATCTACCATTGTTTAGGTTAAATCATATACTGTAAATTATTTTTACCTGATCGTCGGCGGCGGGGGAGAAAGCATCGCTTGGTCCAGGACCAGGAGCTTCCCCGGGCGGAGCAGGCGGGCTTAAAATCTCCGAAGCTGGTCCGGGAGCCGGGGCGGTCTTATGCTTCTTCTTATGTTTGCTCGGAGCTGGAGCTGGAACATCAGCTGTTGGTGCATCCACCGGAGCAGAAGGTGTATCAGCCTCCGGTGAAGGAGCTGGCGGAGAAGAAGAAGCCTCAGGTGTAGGAGAAGGAGGAGCCTCGACGGGTGCTTCTACCGGAGTCTGCGCCGGAGCCTCCGTCGTGGGAGTTAATTCGGGAGATGGAGAAATGGCGGGAGATGTGGATTTAGGCTTTTGAGGAGATGTAGAAGGAGATTGGCCACCGACGCCGAGGGAGAAAATGCAGATCAATGTAACTGTTAAGAGAATTTTGCGAGTCATAATTTGAAATTAGTTGAGAGAAATAAGGAATTAGAGAAAAAGTGAGTGTGAGTGAAGAATGAAGATGCTAGAGTGTATTTTGCATGTATATAATAGAAAACATTTGAGAGATCTGGACCGTTGATCGAAGAATGTAAGGGACCTACGGTGATTAGTAGCCGTTGGAGCAGAGTATAAAAATTATGTGTGGTTGTTGTAATATTTGAGCTAGGCCCAGTCTGTCATTGGGCCCAATATTTTTTGTTGTTTCCCAATTTTGGTTTTCTACGACATTTTTTGTTTTTGTTTTTTTTTATAGTTTTGCTAGAAGGATGAACAGCTGGAGAATTGGCATATTCCGGTGATGGTCCTGAGGCAGTCACCGTCACCACAACCGCTATGGATACACATACGAAAACAGCATTTTTCGTTTCATTGATATTCTTATTTTTGAGCTTTGTTTCCGATCTTTTTTTCGGTTATTCTAACGAGTTTGCTTATTTTTCATGCACATAATATAGAACCGTATCATACTACGTACACTACATACTATACATTGCATATGCATTTGTGTAACCTTTTTCTAAAAAAAATTTGGAGTGGCTATTCCATTGAAGAGACAATGACAAATGGAAAATACCATCGAGAGCGGCGTGTCGATGATGCCATTATTTTATTTCTGTGGTCCTCAGGAAACAAATCATATTACATGCGTTGTACATCACTTTTTCAAACAATGTCTTTTTGAACTTTATTATTGTCAGCTTTATTTAGTTACATAACCTTGATTGAAAAATAGCTTTGTTATAGAGTTTCCTTAATCCGTTTGTTATACTCCCTCCGTTTCACAAAAAGTGTCACTTTGACACATTTCACACAAATTAAGAAAACTATGGATTATACATGTATACCCCTATTTAATAAGTGATTAATGATTTAAATTCAATGAAAAGTAGCTTTGGGTTAAGGATAAATTAGGAAATTTAGTGTAAAAATTACATTGAAAATGTAGAATGACACTCTTTGTGAAACAAAAATAAAACTTTAAAATGACACTCTTTGTGAAACAGAGGGAGTATTTTTTTTTCATGCACTAGATTTTCAATGTTTCACACATAACATCTAAAATTTTTAACAAGATTTTATATTAATGGACCTAATTAATGGCCGAGCTCTTTTTCCATAAAACAAAACAGTTTCGTTTTCTTCTTTCATAAAACACAAATCCTCTTTGAAACGAAATCTTGTCGCCGGATTCACGTTGTCGGTCTCTCGTCGCCGGTATACTATTGTCTTACCAAAGAAAAAAGAGAGATTTGTACGATTTAATCAAAAACGAAGAATAAAGAGAGATTTGAGAGCAAGCATCTTCGATCTCGATTCTCAAGATAAACTAGTCTCTCATACTCACGATTTTGGTTTTAGGGCTTTTGATTTGTTTGATTTGTAGAAAAATTAGGGTGTGACTGATTGGTGGAAGATTTCTCGTGGTTTGTCTTTTTCAAAATTGAGGATTCAATATCTCCAAAATTGGGTGTTAATGTTAGGAGAAAATGTTTTAATTGTTCATCTTACATTTCTATTGCACATTTCATGAAGATTTATAACAATTTAGGGGAAAGTAGATGATTTACGAATTCTAAAAGATTTTCTAGTTTGCTCATTGTATTGGTTGTTGATTTCTATAGGTATGGACCGTATGGTGTAGGCATGGTGGAGATATACTCTGTTTGTGAGGAGTGGAAACAAAATGAAAAGCTTCAGTGGATTTTTTTAGTAGACACAAACAAAGTTGAATCCCTCTGTGAGGTAGATGAGAATATCTCATACAAGAGTTTAGTTGAGAGTGTTATTGAACACTTCGGACTTGAGGGTTTAGTCAAAGATATTTCTCTAGCTATGAAATTCCCCCAAGGATGAAGCTGATGTTAGAAAATTCTCTACCAATGTATATTTGGAATGATCGCCAAATTTTCACTTTCATCAAGAATATACAAGGAGATCCTGAAATAGTTCGTTTGTGTGTAACGGTAAATAAAAGCGTATATGACTCTCTTTTGTTTCAACTATAGACAGACTTACACTACATACTAAATTCTTTACATTTGCTCTTTTTGCAGGAACTTCATCAATCAATTGGAAGTGACATCTCATTTTCTATTCCAACTAGTGATATACGTTCAACAACTGAAAAAACGGGACAATTATTCTTTTTTTTCCTCTTGCTCGAGATTCTGCTGTGATTCCTATAGAAAGTTTACATTCAACGGTTGTACATGAAAACAAGAAGGTAAAATTTTATTTTCATAAGTGTTATGAATGATACATTAATATTTAGTATGCTCTTCATAAATATGCAATGTCTGTTCATAAATATGCAGTTTAGTCGGCTTTGTTTCAGTTTTAAATGTCTGTTCATTTGTAACGCTTATCGAAGATAAATTATATTGTTAAGATGAAATACAAAATTGGAGACGAGATAATCTCGAAGCTAAGCTGACGGATGACAAAATGTCTTTGAAAATTATGTCCAAAAAAAAAAACCATTTTAGAGCATGGTCATGGGTGATACTCATAAAGTATCATTAAGAATTTTTATAGTATTATTTATAATGTTTGTTTAATATTTTTTATTTTTTTCTCTTACTTTTGGCAAACGCGACCAATCAGGAGATGCCACGTCAGATGATACTGGTATCAAAAGTATCACTGGGCTGATACTAATCATGCCCATTCTAATTGTTTTGTCTATATAAAAATAATTTCTGGGCTTGTGATACTCTAAAAGTATCACCCATGTACATGGTCTAAGTATCAATCAACTAGTTAATACCAAACCATAAACAAAGAGAGAAAAAGACCAAAACTGAACTAAAAGGAAATGATACCAAGTCTTAATCCAATTGTTAAGAGATTTATTTTATTAATAATCCATTAAACTTTAATTCATAGAAATATTAATATTAATTTATTTTTCATTAATTTATATATCTGCTTTCTCGGTTGACTACATATCAATTTGTGAGCCACATATCATATTGAGATCGAGTCCAAGATTTGGCTACGCGCCAACCACGTGTACGTGGGCCAATAAACACCAAATATTCGTTCGTACTCACAAAGTCACAAAGCCACCGACTTCGCTTGGCATCACACACTTCGCACATCATGATGATCACTGGTTCTATAGAATAATATATTGACTATGTTGAAATAAATGATCAATAATAAAGAAAATTGAATTCACTTTTTGATTTTTTCATATCTCAAATAATGTTTTCTTATTTTAGATAGTACTATTCATAAAATTCCAAAACGAAACCAAACTTCGGATTGAACACCTTTTTTTTTGTTAATTTGAATACCTATAGTTTAGTTGTATATGACTAATTAAATAAGCACGAGTTATCTGATGGATAGAGATGAAACTGAATAACATTGGTCTTTTTTCGAACCGAAATAAGATCACATTAATTATCAAATCGTTACAACTTCATTTTATCCGAAACATATGATAATAAATATCTTATGAAACTCGAAATACATTTTTAGTCAACCATAAAAACGTTAAAGAAAAAAACGAAGCTGGATCAGTTATTGAACAATACTACAATTTTGGGTTTTTTCTTTTTTTTCCGAAGATCCACAAAACCCGTTCATTATTATTATAGTCTTTCGTTTTTCACGGAGCTTTGGGACCGGTGGTGGTGGCGGCGGGTTTGTCGCCAGAAGGAGTAGGACCATCGGTGGAGCCACCTCCAAGACCAGGCGTAGGTTCTTGGTGACCTTCGGCTCCATAAGCTTTCAGTTTGTAATCTTCCAAAGTACCTGTGGCCATGTAAGGGCTATTGGTTGGTAAGTCGTTGTCTTTCACTTGCTCCGTTTTCTTCTCCGTCGTTGTCGTCGTCGGTGGTGTTTTCCCGGCCTCCATTCTTTTTTTTTGGTTCGTTTCTTTTTTTTTTTTGTTGTCTATTAAAGTTGTTTAGGTTCTTTGTGAGATGTGTCTGCTTTTATGGAGCTATCTAGTGCACTGTGGCTCGTGTGATACCGACACGTCAATTACGCGGTTCCTCGAGATCGACGTGGCTTGCTGTCTGCTGATGTCGGCTGTAGTACTTATGGGCTTTTTAGTGGACTTTTCTTGAAGTGGGCTTAAGCCGGAAAATTGAGTTTCTAGTACATTTTTTTGTTTCTATAGTTGCTAGAAGGATTAAAGTTGTTTTTTTCCTCACATATATTTTATCTATGAAACAGGTCGCAAAACCGTCCCTTATTTGGTATGATATATTTTCAAACTTGAGAATCATTTAGCATTAAACGCTACACCAAAAGAAAAAAAACACACTTGCATTACAAGTTTTTCTTTTCTTTTTCGAAACACGTTAAAGAAACGAAACTAGATCAGTTATTGGACATGGCTAAGCTACTTTTTGTGTTTGTTGACGATCCCACATACCCATAATAAAGTTTTTTCACGGAACTCCCTGATGGTTAATCGCACCGGTAGAAGAAAGATCCGTCGATGCAGCGCCTCCACCGCGGCCAAGACCCCCTGAAGGAGTAGGAGCATCGGTGGCTCCACCTCCCATGCCAAGCTTAGGTTCTTGGTGGCCGTGTGCTCCGTAACCTTTCATCTTGTAATCTTCCAAGTTATCATAGTCCAAATATGGGCTCTTGATAGACTCAACGTCGTCGTTTTTAACTTCTTTCTCTTGTTGCTCCGTCGTTGGTGGGTTTTTCTGATCCTCCATCTTGTTTTCCGTTTGCTAATACACTTGCTAGTGATTCACTTTTTGCTTATATGGAACACATATGGCTCGTATATTTCCGACACGTGTTGACACGGTGGCAATTAGTAAGCTTCCTGATATCTACGTGGTCTTTTTGTTAGGATTTACGTTATCTAAACTAGGGTCCTAGAAGCATCTAGATCTCTTTTTTGTAATTGTTTTTGTTACTAATGACTTTTGTATAAATTAAAATTATACACGTATCTTAAATAAATACCAAATCTTTATCAAATACCGCATAGCATATGATAATTAGGTGTTTTTTCCAAACAAAGTAATAAGCAGACAAAAAAAATTATCTATGCCTTTAAATTTCAAAAAATTAAAAGAGGTTTTCCAAGCCATTTTTTTTGTAATTGATCAAAATTATATAAAGCGTTTTAACCTATTATGTAACATGAATAAAATAGATAAAAGATATACGAGCATAACAAAAATTACAACCTTTTTCAACATTAATTTAGCATATTGCAACTATCTAAAATCAATAAAACGTTAAAAACTGCATGAATTATCAGAATAAAAATCCCAACATTTCCTGGGAACTGAAGGAGAGATTGAAATTGCTCTTAACGATGGTAACACTCGACCGTTTTGCTCTATATATCATGTAACTACAAAAAACAAGGTAGAAGCCTTGTTCTAAAAATCGGCCGCCTAGCCGCCTAGGCGGCCGTCTAGGCGCTGATCGGAGGAGCACCGCGGCGATTTTGTCCAAATCGGTGAGAAAAATCGGAGATCCGATTTTTTGTCCGCCTGGACCGCCTAGGCGGCCGCCTAGCCCGCCTAGACGGCGCCTAGCCCAATTTTTTTTTTTTTTTTCATCTAAAATTCAAAACGTCCTACTTATGTTCGTAATTTGTATAAAAATCATAAATTTGAAATTAAAATCTTGTTTTCATGTGTTTAATACAATTTTAAAAACAATATTATATAAATTTATTAATTATAATGGATTAATATGTTTTTAAAATATTAAATAGCCTTAAAACTAATCTCCGATTAATCTCTGTGTAATCCCCGATTTTCTTGCTAGGCGCTAGGCGCACCCTCACCGCCCGACTAGCGCCTAGCGATTTTTTGAACACGGGGTAGAAGGCGTCAATTTTTTAACGTCATAAGGTAAACCGACGTTAAAAGTTTAAGTGGGAAGCAATATAACGTCGTTTTGATAACCGACATAAACGTTAATATTCTTAATTAATTATTGTAAAACTGTTGATCAATTAAATAGTTAAACTGTTCAGGTTTGTAACCCTAAACGCTTCGTCATTTCTTCTGCAAAATTCAGAATATGAGTGAACCGTCGAGTTCTCATCTGCTCATCGGAGCTTCTTCGTCAATTCGCACCTTCGTTTCCTTTGAAGTTCGAATTTTCTCTTTTCCGATTTAGATCGAAAGATGCGGAATCATATCTCAACTCGATCAAAGACGCCAAATCCTCTATTTTCTGCGTTCGATCGGGATCGAGATTGTTGGTATGTTTGATGTTTCTTATAATTTCGTTGTATTTTTGATTGAATTAGGTTGATTTTGACAAGAATTGTGAATCCAATTTAATGATACGTTTGATCTTTTGATTGAATTTTTGGATAGTGTCGTCGGCGGTGAATCTCAAATCTTGGCAGATTCAGTAGTTTGAGTTTTGAGATAGTTTTTGTTGAAATTTCAATCTGTTTCGATCTCTAAATTTTTGATAGATTCTGGTCACATTCAATCTTTCTTCAAGGATCTGCAACTTACTTACGCTTTTCTTTGTTTTGAATTTGGTAAAGAGGATAGTACTAAACTTTAGGTTTCTACGAGGATTGGAAGATGCAGAGTACATTGACGCCCCTCCAAATCTAGAAGCTGTAAATAACAGAAGAGAAGCTTAGAAGAAAGGAGTAAGTTTTGTTTCTACATGAATATGCAGAAAAAAGTACTAATTTTTTCATTTCCTTAACATAGTGGTGCTAATAGCATATATTTCCTTCTTAATCTGTAGAATGATTTGCAAAAAGCAACTTGTAACTTTACTACTTTGATTGGCCAAGGAGCATTTGGACCTGTCTACAAAGCTCAAATGTCTACCAGTGAGACGGTAGCTGTGAAAGTTCTTGCCACTTATTCTACAGGCGAACAAAAGTTTCACACAGAGGTAAGATATATCTATGGATTGTAGTTGATGATTCATTTCCAAAGAACATGAAACATTACGGGGGACTCAAGCTTTTTGAAATCTCTATTACTCAATTCATAAGTTGCCATTTATATATATATATATATATATATATATCTTAGTGTCTTGCTAAACTCATCCACTCCTATTTTCGTAGGATATGTTTTGTGGAAGGTTGCATCACCTTGACCTAGTGTGTGGTTGGGTATTGTGCAGAAAAAACCCAACATGTGTTTACATATGTCTACATAAGTAAAGAAAGCTTAGCTTCTCATTTATACAGTAAGCAACTGCCTATTTGTACATACTACAATAATCTGCTTGTCACTAAATGAATTGTCAATGCAATGTTGAACTATTTGGTTTCTCTGTATCATATTTATTGAGTCGATGGTTTAGACTTCACTAATTGATGAGCCTTCGTGAAGATTTGCGACATACTAAAATGCTTTTTTGATACAGGCGAAAAACATGAACCACTGAACTGGGATTTGAGAGTATATATTGCATTACGCGGTCTAGAGTATCTTCGTGATGGGGTAATTTACTTTCTAAAACAATCCACCCTTTTAATGCATATCTAGAAAACACAACTTTAGAACCCATGTTCTATTCAATTCTTGCTAGAATGTTCCTCCTGTAATCAACAGAGATCAAATCTTCCCAACATTTTGTTGGATCAATCCATGAGAGCTCGGGTAAATATATCTGCATTCTCCTTGAAATCTCAGTCTATTAACCACCTCGAGTTCCTCATGTCATGGTGGATTATTTTTTACTTCAGGTTGTTGTCTTTGGACTATTTAGAGGAACATGCTGCTAACATCAGAGGAGCATTTGGTTATCTCGATCCCGAATACGTTTCCACAAGAACATATACCAAGCAAAGAGATGTTTATGACTCCTGGGTTTTACTCTTTGAGCTTATAGCTGGAAGAAATCCTCAACAAGGTCTAATGGAATTTGTTGAGCTGGTAGATGTCATGTGTGTATGATTTATGTTTTGTAAGACAGAATTACAAAGTTACATTTTGTGTATAAAGATATGAATTTGATCAATGTAATGATTCATATGGATCAGCTTTTAGAAATTTTATCAAGTTACATTTACGTTATATCTTTATTATACAAGATTCTTAATAATAAATAAATAGTATAAATAGAAAATAAATGATGCGTATTTGCGTCGGTTGTTTAATTGACCCAAAGCTGAAGATTTAAAGTCGAAAGAAAACCGATGCTAATTGAAAAGAAACCGACGTTAATCTTTTGATGTTAAACATTGCGTCATTTCTTTTAGTGAAGCGAAAAAAGTTTACGTCGGCCAATGTTAAGTCGTTTTAAAAACTGACGGTAAAATATTAACGTCTGTTTAAAGCCGACGTTAAGTATTAAAACAAATGACGTTACAAGCCGTGTTTCTTGTAGTACCGACACTTTGGTATTATCAGACTTAATTTTATATGTGAGGAGAGCAATTAAACTTTTCCGCAGCCAAACACCACACCTCAAAGCCGCAAGTCTCTCGAGTGAACTTCAACAATCAAACACCACACCTCAAGTGAAGTGAACTTATGTAGTCTTTTACCACTAGACTAATAAGGCTTTTCAATAGATTAAATTCTAGTAAAATATATAAATATTTCGGACCGCAAGCACAAGCTAGCCAGCTCTAACAAATTATATGTGTAATATTAAGTGTTTTATATTTGAGTATTTGATCAAAAACGTTGTGTTGGACGTTTGTGATGACCTAAAACTTGAAATTCAAAAACCCAGAAAATATCTGGTGTGAGAATTGATTACATGAGACTAATGAGAGGCTATCTAACCATTCTAAGAGCATGATTAACGGTGGTATACTATAAGATTTCTTAAAAGACAAAAATTAATAATATTTTAATTTTGCAATTATATTTTAATTTTTTGATATAGACCATTGATACAGTTGTACGTGTTTTTTGGTTTGTAAGAACGTCTCTTATGTAAGAGCTTTTATAGCTTCTCTCTTTTCTTTCTCTTAACTTTTTTAGTATTTTTCTTTTTTTTATTGTTAAGAACAAAATTAAGAGACGAACGTTAAGGGTGCTCTAAGCATTCTTTGGTAACGCAAAAGAGAGATAGTAACAAATTTTATGGCACCTATGTGAATCACTGCATTAATATTTTTTTTAAGTATAATCTAAAATTAAAATTTACTATGTTTGTTAGGAAAAAAGAGTCAAAAATAACATACTAAATTATCAATGCAATGTGTCCCAATATTTATTACAACAATTTTAATGCAATGTGTCCCAAATCTCAATACTTATTACTAGTTTTGGTTAATTTCAAAAGTTGAACATAAGGTATTTATAATTCTTTTATTAATTATACTTTTCTTTTTGTCTTTTGTCCATAGCACAAAATTTAAACGTATCTAATAAGACTGGATATGACTTACTTTGTAAAAGAACACAGTTTTGGTTGGATTCTGTCCAAACACATGTACGAATCTATCTAAGACTAACTTCTTAAAGGCAAGATATGTCCATACAAAATCTACATTGGAAATTGAGAAGATGAATCATGACGTCATCATTACTTATTTTCTTAAATCTTAACTTTCTCTGTTTCAGAATTCACATTCCCGCTGATTCGAAGTTCTTCTTCAAGATGAGATCATATGGCAAAGAAAAGAAGTTAGGGTTTCCTTACGTTTTCTTGGCGTGTTGCTTCTTCTTAGCCATCTTCGGTTTCTGTTTCTTCAATCTTCTCTCTCAGGTTTTGATCTTTCTCTCTTAATATCTCTTCGATCATCGAGTTCCGGTGAAGCTCTTTCCAAAACTCTGTTTCCTCTGTTTTCTACAGAGAAGTTTCAGTGAGATTCCGACGCGAAGATCTGTTAACGAAGAAACTGAATCTTTGGATCATGGTTCTGTCTCCAACATTCCTTTTCAGGTCAGTTACTTCTGAAATCTCCAACAATCTAAAAAAGATCATAACTTTAGATTCAGATTTCACAAGTTTAGATGTTTTGATGTGGATGATCAGGTTTTAAGCTGGAATCCTCGAGTTTTTTACTTGCCGAATTTCGCAACTAAACAACAATGTGAAGCCGTTATCGATATGGCAAAGCCTAAGCTTAAGCCTTCTCTGCTTGCTTTAAGGAAAGGCGAAACCGCAGATACCACTCAAAACGTTAGAACAAGGTTAAAGAAAACTTACTTAAGACTCAATTCTCCATACTGGATATTTATGAGGCTAGATAGCATTAGATCAATGAACATTACAAGAAACTGAACATTTTCAAATGCAGTACCGGAGTGTTCATTGGTGCTGATGAAGACGAATCCGGGCTTTTAACTGCCATTGAAGAGAAAATAGCTTTAGCCACGAGAATCTCTACAGATTATTACGAAGTAAGCAAATACGAAACCAATACATATATGATCTAAAACGTCGAAGAACATGTGGTTCTACTTTTGAATATATCAATAAGACCTTCTTGTGTTTATTCTCTAGTCATTCAACATCTTGAGGTATCAGCTTGGCCAGAAATATGATTCACATCACGATGCTTTCCATCCAGCAGTGTATGGTCCCCAGATAAGCCAAAGGGTAAGTAAGCTACCTAATTTAGTCTTTGGAATTCAGTAAGTCGATTCAAAACTACCATCTGTTGATCCTCCATTCAACATATGAGTGCAGGTCGTGACTTTCCTATTGTTCTTATCGAGTGTCGAAGAAGGTGGAGAGACGATGTTCCCATTTGAGGTAATCATTGTTTCTTTATTTCGCTTTTAACATGGTTGGGGTTCTCTGGTTATGAAACAGATTTTGGTTTTGAGGAAGCAGAGTGGGAGAAACATGAATGGAAGTTATGATTATGAGAAGTGTATTGGTCTGAGAGTAAAACCGCGACAAGGAGACGCCATTTTCTTCTACAATCTGTTGCCAAATGGAACGATCGATCAGGTAAGTGTTTCAGACATTCAGAAAACCCATCTCAGACATAAAATGTTTGATCTTTCTCAGAATTTGGTTTTGTTGTTGCAGACATCTCTACATGGAAGCTGTCCTGTTATTAAGGGTGAGAAATGGGTTGCCACCAAATGGATAAGAGATCAAACATATGATTGACTTGTAAAATGTGAAAATTTCATTTTCTTCATATTTACTTTTAAAACAATAATGCCTAAAAGGTCCAAAGAAGATGAACTAAACAAAGAAAACAATAATCCAAAATAATAGAATCCTCTCAAACTAACAAATCAAACCTCTTATACTGCTTACACTGCATCTTGGAACTTCCCAGGTTTTGTGTTTCCTCACTTCATGCTGCTACAAAATCGAAGCGAGACCATTGACATTTGACACTAGATCATATACCAACCTTGAGTTTTGTTAGGAAACATGTAGATTTTGTCTTCAATTTGCCTTGTCCTTCTTCCGCATAAGTCTAATAACCAGAGACCACACACTTACTCAGGATCATAATTTGTGCCAATCTTGATGTGGTGACTTTCCCCATCGTCTCAATAAATATATACAACCAGATGCAGTGAATAAAGAAATGGCACCAAAAGCCATCATTGTTGAGTTCTCGATCTTGTTAGAGTAGCCTCTCTGCAATATTGAGATCGATAAGGTAACAGAAACAGAAGCAACATAGGTTAACAATCGTGATTTTGATAGCACATATACCTGGATTAAGAAAAACAAAATAGTTGCATTAGCTGGAACTTGAGAGAGGCTTATCATCCCTCCACGCAATTCATTTGGTACATACCTATAAATAAAGATAACAGTTCGTTAAAACAGAGAAGAAAGATTCTAATGTCTTTTGCTGAATAATAAGAGCATTACATTGTTCTTAATCTTGCAAGCAAGGGAAGGGCAAGTCCAGAAAAGCCATGAAATAAGCAGAAAAGTACTACTAAGATTCGGATTTCCTGCAGGATATGGTTTTTAATGCGTGAGGCCTTCCATATGAAGCAAACAAATTTTTTTACGGGTAGCTTTTGTGAAAGTAGCAAATAAGTTACCTGATAATCATAGGCTACTATAGAAAACACAACCCCAAGTATTGCGTATATGTAGACTAAGCAATCTTCAAGCCGGAGTAAAGATTGTCCGCTCATAAGCCATGGGAATGCAGTACTCCCAAGCATTCTTGAACCCAAGAAACATGGATATATCAATCCCAGATTTACTTCTCGCCCATCAGCCTGACCCAACATAACTCATTTCAATCATTGCATTGTCGACAAATAAATACCAATAGTAATCTTATCTAAAGGAAAATTATGGAATCATAGGATGCCCTAAACATCAAATGAGAGTAACCAATCATTGCTAATTTGATTTCTGAAATATAAAATTTGGTTCAAGATTTCAAGCAACTGCAAATATTATAATAGGAAGCTTGATCATACCACTATTGTTGGTGCCCACAGAATCCAAAAGACTGCAGTGGAAAATTGGAGGCAGGCTTGTGAAGTTCCCAGAAACCATATTCTTTTATCTGATTAAATTTACAAGCTACTATTAGCTTATACAAATTCAAATCTAAAAGTTGCAATGCCGAAGAAAAGATGAAGACAAAACCCTTACCACCAAGAACATACGCATAGAAAGCTGCGGAATAATCCCTAAATGGGAGGGTCTTCAACGGCTCTTTTGCAGTCTGGACAATACAAATAATAGTCACAACAGACAAGAACAGAGACGCCGTAGCAGACAATGCAATGCCATGCTGAACATTTTCATCCACAAGCCAATTTGCAAGAACTTGACCTCCAATTAAAGATGCAGACTCGAGGAAAGTCATCAACCAGAATGTCTCATTTAACGAGTCATTCCTCTGACTTTGCTACAAAGGTACAAGACACATAACAATAACATTACTACAAATCAGAACTTAGTGTTCTCTAGTGATAAACTCAAATACAGAGACGAAACTGTCCATACCTTTTCATGTTCCACAACAAGCCAAGTCTCAAACCCAAACGAATATACAAGACCAGCAAGAGAGAGAAAAATATTTGCAAACCAAGCACTAGGGCTCATTGTAATCCTCTTCCACACACCAACAACAAGGTGCAAGACACAATAGAGTAGACAAATTCTCTTCTGACCTCTACAAAAGTTTCGATATTTATCGTTACTAGCACCATATGATTCAAAGTTAAAAACAATTGATCAACATTGTACTAAAAGCTACTTACATGAGATCAGAAAGCACACCAAGTAAAGGACCAAGAACAAGAGCAGTCGAATAGCCAACACAGAGATAAAACACCATTGATTCTTTACTTAAGGCATAAGATGTTAACTCCAATTCTCCATACACAGACCATAAACCTTCCATCACTGCGATAAATCCAATCAAAGAACTCAAATTGTTAGCAAAAGATCCACTTTTATTGACGAGAAAAGGCCAAAGTTGAAAGCTTTTGTAACCAGAAATTGAAAGCACCATAGTTACTACAAATTCACGAAGACCCATTTGCAGAAATATACCTGAAGAGAGAGTGTAGATAGCTAAAAACCATCTTTGAAACCGAGCGAAAGAAGAGGAAATAGAATGATCAAAGCTACCAAAAGTTCTGTTCTTGGCCAAGTAAGGAAACAGAAATATCGACAAAAATGTGGAAACGAAGAAGAAGATGAAGAAACTTGAGCTTGGTTCCCAAATAAAGGTCTCAATAACGACACCCATCGATCCAAAAGTCACCGGTAAATCCGCCGGAGAAAGTAAAAAAAACGTCGGAGACGAGAGTGTAATTTGAGATCTTGACCGATAAACTCAAGAAGTTAGCAAGAGAACACCTCTGGCTTGTTTAGAGGGTCTCTGCGTCTATCAGGCCAATAGGCCCAATATGCAACCAAAAAAGCCTAAGTTCAAGAGAAATAACATTCACACACAATTTTTTTCTAATGGTATTTAATGTTTCATTTATTGATTATTTTTTCTTGGGTTTGTTGGAACCAAATTTTGGCAAATGGTTCCGACCAACTTTCTGGCTACTTTACTAGTATGGGTACTCGAACTGGAGATATATCACTCACACAAAATTAGGACCGAAATTTATATATATTATGTGAGGCCGCAAGCAAATGGTTCATGGGCCTGGCCTTTAGGTCGGCTTTGCTCATAATACTCATGAGATGAACTTGGGTAGATGAGATAATAACCTATCTTTTTATACTACATTTATATTGATTCTTTTATATTTGATGTCAATGTTTAACAATCTCGAGCCATACGAAAACTCAACGTCTCCGAGATTTTGTTCTGAAATTTTCGCTAGCATTATTATTTCACCACTAGATTTTAACCCGCGGTACACCGCGGGTCTATATTATTTTTAAGAAAATCAAATTGTAATTTGTTTAATAGATTAACTATATATATGGCTGAATGTTTTGTATTTTTAAAATGTACAACTTTTATATTTATATATTATATAGTGTACAATTATTATGTTTGAGGTTTACCGTTTTAAAATATAGAAACAATAGTATTTAAATTATATTGTTAAATTTTTAAATGTGAGTAAAGGATACTTTGGTTTTCTTGTTTTGTTTCTTCCATATATACTAATCATAATTAATTAGTATAGTTTAGTTAAGAAAATATTTTAAAATCTAAACTAAATTTTGTTGTATGATTAAAAATTATTTGTATCTAAACAAAATCCATGTTTGTTATATTCGTGATTGGCCACCTATATATTAGGTAATCTTTTTAATATCTTTAAACCCGTATGACCCATTGACCCGTTTTTTAATGAATTGATTAATATTAGTGACATGGAATTAAAATGATTATGATTAGAGATCTCTAATGACATATATTTTAATTTCTTACAAAATCAACGTTACGACTTATAGGATGTACTTCCCAAAAAAATTTATATAACATTTTCAATAACATTTTCGAACTATATGATTACTATAATTCAAAATAACATTTTCTTTATAAATTCGATTTATATAAAAAAAATTCAATGATATATCATTTTCAATAACATTTTCGAATAATAGATTAGTATATAACATTTTCAATAACATTAAGGATATAAATAGTTTTGCTTTCAATTTAATTTTGTTAATATTAAGAATTTAAGACAATGTCATTAAAACAGTTAAAAAAAGAATCATAATTTTAAATCTTAATCAAATATTTTAAATATCTATATTATTAAATGTAAAATATTATATGGACATTTTTATTTTATAATTAATGTTAAAATCTTTTAATTGTGTTTGGTTATATGGATAGTGGAGAATTAATAATAAAGTTGTTTAGATACATGATATAAGTAATGATATTCTTTGTAAATAATATAGAAACAAATAATTTTCTCTAAAATGTACTTAAAAATGTATATATACTTTAAAATATTATTTTTTAAAGAATTATTTTTGGATTGTAATATTTTTGAAATATACATTACTGCTCTTCGAATTTGTTTAAAATATTCTTTTTGTGCTTAAAAAGGGATGGTATCTCCAAAAGATTCACACCTAATGATATCGTGGAAAAAAAACAAAACTGAATTAGAAAAAAAACTATATCGAAGTCTATTTTCCTGAAAAATAAAAGAACATTCATGTAGAGTTAACGACGAAATACACTACAGTAAAAGTATAATTCTTTTTGTTTGTTAACAAAGATATAGGAATATATTTGAATTTTTAAGGTAAATTAGTTGTAATATAAATTAAAAATTTAAGCGAGAATTATGGGGTTATATCTTGCCATATAACCAAATTGGATCTTTAGCGTAGTATTCTCCTTTTTCCATATCAGAATAATATCTATTAATTAAAAAAAAATCTTAACTACACATTACATAGGCAATAGCATTTTAATAGAAAATATTGATTAATGCCAACAAATTTATATATTTATAAGTTTATTATTTACCAACAACAAAATCATAAATTTAAAGTAAACTAAATGCCCGATTCTCTCATATGACATGCGTTGTGGAGCCAATAAACGCTGATTTTTGAGTGAGTAGCTTGGGACGTCCATGTGCCTTTGTCAGATTGGTTGATTTTGATTGTTTGTGTCTACAAAATGATAAGAAATTTGATGACATTAGTAAAGTTGATACACGTACTGAAATGTGATCTAAACCAAATTGCAAAGTATAAATGATGATAGTGGAAATAAATTCTTTAGCTCAAACGAACCTCCGCTCGTGCATCAGTATTTGCAAGTCTTTAGCAATAAAGAAGAAAACTTCCTCAACGTTTAAGTTAGTCTTGGTACTCTGCAATTAGTAAACTCTTCATTCATCAAAGTTAACCAAATGAAAAGAATTTAACCTTTTTCTATATGAGTGTATCATCATCGTTTTTTCTTCTTTCCAAATCAATATGAGATGTAGGTCTCTCATCTCTCTCCTCTTCCTTCTCTTCTTCACTTCATCTGCTTACACTCGATTCGTCTCCCTACATCCATTATCAAAACGGTCTCTGGCTGAGGAAAAGGAGGAAGCTTGTGAACAGACTTATGGGTGTATACAGTGTACTAAGACCGCTCTTGGAAACGTGTGACGTATCTCTCTGCCGAAAGTGAGCTTCTTTTTGAGATCCTTGGCCCTGAAAAAAAAGTGAATTTTTGTTAGGTTTTGCGAATCAAATAGTAAAACGATGAAGAAAAAATAAATAAAAAAGAAAGAAGAAAAACAATGGATGCATTGGTCAATGAATGGATGACTTTATATAAGCAGAGAGGATGTCAATTTAGGGTTAGAATATTGTTTAAGCAATATTACGAATTTATGATACTCGAATATATTAGGAATATTCGTATTATTAGTTTATTTAATTCAAAAATTAGAATTTGCGGATTTAAAGGAAGATCTTCTCGAGATGTTAGGAACATAATCGAGATTTTAGTAACCAATTGTGATCACATTTAATTTTCGGAAGTTTTGAAAGATTTGTGTCAAAATTTGTAGAAACAAATTAGGATAGATAATGTTTAGTTAATATCTTTTTAAATGTTTTCAAATCTTTAGAATTAAAGCCATTGACAATGGTATGGAAATAATTTAAATTGTTTGAGTCATAATTATGATTTTAAAATATTGTATTGCAGAATTGGTAGATAATATAGATGAGATATGGTATCTAGAAGTTGTTAGTTAAGATGTTGTAAAGATTTGAAATAATGTAGAGATAAAAAAGAATATAGCCGATTAATATGGCAATTAGTTTAGGAAATCACATTAAACGGAAATGAAAGAGTAATTATAGTCATAATCGGTGATTTTGTTTATTACAAATTTTCTTAAATATCTTATCCAGGATCCGAACAGAATAAAACCGGGTCAAAACCCGACCCATTTGAATTAAAATCCAAAATCCCCTCCAAAAATGTAAATGTAGATATAATGTAATTTCTTACACTTCTCAAACAAAATATACAATTTTCAATGATATATCATTTTCATGAACATTTTTGATAACATGTTCGAATAATGGATTACTATATAAAATTTTCAATAACATTTTCGAATAATATATTAGTATATAACATTTTTACTAATTGTGTTACATTTTCAAATTGATTAGTATATAACATTTTCGAATTATATTAATTGTGTTATCGTTTGAAGAGATTTTTTTCCGAATTATATGTATTATATAAACAAAATCTTTTAATATCTTTAAACCCGTTGACCCGTTGACCCGTATTAGTGAAATAGAATAAAATGATTATAATTAGAAATCTCTAATGGCATATATTGTAATTTCTTACAAAATCTAAGTTATGACTCTTAGGATGTACTTCCCAAATATTAGTATAGGATTTGTTGCGCCTCTACAATTTTCCCCCATTGTCGCTCAACTATTTCGATATTGATACCAACTTTTAATTTATTATACAATGTTTTTATAACATAATGTATTATTTATTATATCGTGTCTATTTATTTTATTATTTAGGTTGTGGCACCACCTCGTGGCTAACGATCTAGCAGTGAGAGGCTGAATAACACGCAACAAGTTCTCTCTCTCTATACTAGCAAAACTGATTGGATTACTTAACAACAACTATGTAAAGAGAGTGGTAGCAATGATCCATTTTAAAACCAGAAATTGTAAGCACCCTAGAAAAATTCAAATTGACGAAGAAAAAAAAAAAAAAAAAAAAAAAATTGACGAAGAAATAGATAAAATCTGTAAACCCATTTGAAGAAATCTATAGATATATGTCATATATCTGAATAGATAATGGATTTGAATATGATTAACTATTAATAAAATGACTACTAAGATTTTTTTTTTGTTAGAAAGATTCGTTTAACAATTGGGAATGTATTTGGGGAAATTGTAAAAGGTCAGTGATTCATTTGGCAGAAAATAGAAGAGGAGCGTGGTTAATTTGCAATTCAATTCTGGAAAAAAAAAGAGAGTAGTCCTTGTATAGATAGTCTTATGGTAGAGCGTGATCATCTTGTGTGATCATTGATGTGTAAAGAGGAATAGAGTTTATGTGCTTTGTTCTTGGATGATAAGAGTGGAGAATAGTTACTCCAAAATTATCAATTCAGGATTTGATTCATTATCCTACGTTCTTATCACAAAGTCTACTTCAAACTTTCTACACAATTGTAATGGTTTCTTACTTTGCGTTCCACTTTAAATTTACATACTTCACTTTTGTTTCTCTTTTTAAATTCTTTATGCAATGAATTGTAGAGGAGAAGCCGTATCAAATTTTACGTATGACATAATCTGTAGAAATTATTATAACTA